GGAGAAACTCAGTCTGTAATGGCTGTGGGGTCCTGGGTCGCCAGCTCTACCCTCAGGAATTAGATGGGAAATACCTGGCTCTGTCTGCGAGTTTCAGCTGGGAACTGTAGCAGTGTGAGCAAAGCATGGAACCGAACCATGGGACCAGCCTAAGCTTCTTTTCTATGAAGGAATATTCCCAAGTTCTACATGATTGAGTTACAAATTAAATTTTTTCTTGCTTGATGATATGTCTGCCAGTATGAATTAATTTTGTGGGATTTAATAGAGTTAAAGTACATGCAAAATCCTAATGATTCATGTATTAAAACTGCTGAATTTTTTTAAAAACAAAACTGGTAGACATATACTCTAGGAATTTGACCTTATTATTAAATCATAGAATTTGTTTACATGGTATTATGGAAAAGGTTTTATTCAAAGTCATTCTTAAAAGAAGAAGTTAGTCATTAAGTCATAAGAAAAGCAACAGCAGGAAAGTTGAAGAGATTGACTGTAATCTCCTAATAATTATAACAACTTAGCTACTGATTTATTTCAAGATACTTTGTGTCAAATTTTTAAAAATAATCTGTTACAAGAATACACTGAATTGGGCTGGGGATTTAGCTCAGTGGCAAAAGCGCCTGCCTGGCAAGCGCAAGGTCGTGAGTTCGGTTCCCGGTACCGGAGAAAAAACCAAAAAAAAAAAAAAGAATACACTGAATTTATTTCTTCTGCCTTATGTCATACTAGTAAGGAATGCAATGTTAGAATGTTAATAACTATTCCATTACTATTTTAAGATATTTTCAACAGAAATAATCAATTTTCATTCATGTTGTAAAAGTTTTTAAAGTTTCTGGTGAGATCTTTTCCATGAGCTTTGAACTACTAATATCCATTTGAGTATATCACAAGCTTCTCAAAATTATGGCCATTGCTGTCTTCAAAAAAGAAAATTCTTCATAGATACAAAATTTCTGTGTAAGGTATATTGTTCATGTGTATTACTTATAAAATACATTGTATAATTGGAAACCTCAGAGAAATGGTTGAATTATATTGCACTGATGTGATTAGTTTTTCATCATTAAAATTATTTTCAAACATGTCATGGAAAAATACTGTTTAATGTAAAAGCTGTAAGAATACTAGGAGAAAATGTTTATGATAAGAAAAATACCTCAGCAGAAGGTAGTACTAGATATTATCTTTGGGTGATAAGATTATTGATGATTTTCATTATTTCAGACATTATACAATTAGTACATAGTACTTTTAATGTGATACCTTTATTACAAATTTGAATTTTTATCTTAATACTTTAAATTTTCAAAACATGGCTGGTTGGTTTAACCTGTGTACATGATATTGTGTTGCATTGCAGTAACCAATGAATTCTAAGTCCCAGTCATGCTGTCCTTATGGCAAAAAGAATGGAACACTCTACCAACAGAACTGTTCAGTAGCTCTTTATGCTTGTGTTTGAAAGATACACAGTTGCTTATAGTTGTATTTTATTTACCAAAGCAAGTCACACGGCCATGCATCATGTCATTGGACAGTGAAGTATTGAGGAGCCTAGTAGTAGTTAGTTTAAACACACACACACACACAATAATTAGATCAAATCAACTTACCATATCTGTATCATACCTGTTTGTTTTGAATTTTTATAGTAGGTACAGAATTATTCAGGCTGCCATGTGGGTTGTGTAGGTTTCATACTGTGCAGTTCTGACAAGACCCCTTTCACGTAGTGCATGAGGTGAGGTTCACTGTGGAGCTGTGTTTCGTATAACTTGCCTGTCCACGTGCAGTAGCCCTAAGAATTACGTGTCGACAGAAAGCTGTAAGTCTTCCTTTGACTTATGAAGACTATTTTGCTGTCAATATTGTTCATTTGAGCTGACAAATTTATATTCCATCTGTATATTTGTGAATCACCTATCTAGAAATACATACCTGCTATTACTTGATAATTTTCAGTGGCAGTTCTCAGTGGATTTTAATTTTCTTGAGCTCATTAAATTTTATGACATTAATGGGTTACTTGTTGAGCAGTTACTGATAATGAACAAATTTTAGTATTTAAACTAAAATCTATATTCTAAGTATAATTTATATAAATATTACATAGAAACAAAAATTAATGCAGAGTCACTGCTGTTGCTTCAGTAAAAAATGTCTTATACTCAATTCTTTCTAGAATAAAGATCAGGAAGGAAATAGAATAAAAAATGTATTTTCAAAATGCTTATTTAAGTATTGTTTTTATTACTAAATAAAATAAGAGCTTATAAAATTTTTTGTTTTTTGAAAGCAACTGTATGTGACATATTGATAGGTAGGAAAGTAGAAATGTAGGAAGAAAGGGAGGGAAGGAGGAAGAGACAGACAGAGAAAGAGAAAAGAAAGATTGATTATGAAGTTTACATTTTATAAAACTGAATTTTTCAACCTATGAGTAAAAAAAAGATACATGAAGATGCTGTATACATCCCAGCAAGGTGTTTTAGAGAAAAGTTTGCTACTAGTCTCACTGGAAACTAACTGGGCTTGCTTTTTATAAAATTTCATCCTAGAAATTATGTGAAAGAAGCCCTGTAGTGTATAGTCACAGAGTGCTACATCTAAGAGTTTTTGTTTGGGTTTATAAGTATCGTTTGGTCCCATGGTAATAGATTTTAGGTGCCATGTTATTTTAATACATACTGTTAAAGTACTCTCCAGAAAAGGCATCCCAAGCATTTGTCCGCTCTTGATGTTAATGTTCTGTGAATTTGTTACTTTGCTAGAATATAGCATCTGAGGGTTATTCATATTTCCATATTATCCATTCATATTTTTCTTTTTCTGTGAATTACCTGTTCATATTTCTGGCTAACTTTTCTTTTGGGTTGTATCAATTTCTTTGCCATTTCCTCTGTAAATTGGCTTCTGTCACTAAAACTAGTCTAATCACTACACTCTCCTCTTTGGCAAGAAAAAAAAATCAGTGAACTTACTTATTTGACATGCCCACCCTTTTCTTCCTTGATGTCATCTCCTTCATTGCTGTTCATACCAGCTTTTAACTCCTGATTTTCTTGTGCTTCCCAAGCTACTTTTCCCTCAGTGGCTTTTTTCTTCTACTATTATCATTTCACCCCTCTTCACAGTGTTTCTGTTTTCTTTGTGGACCTCTTCATAGCTATAGTTTTGATTTCAAGACTACTGTGGTTTGTGTGTGTGCTCACAATTGAAGAAAGACTGAATTCCAGCGAGGGGCTAGTAAAAATAAGGGTGTAATTTTTTCCATTAATGTTCTTGCATACTGAATTATGTCTAGCCTCAGGAGTCTGTAGACCTCAGGATAAATATATACATTTTCTACAACCTGCTGCTTAATATCACCTGCATTTCTTATCTTTACTGCAGGCACTGCCATCATTAAGTTTGATGACAGAATATTACATCTTTCTCCTGTTATTTCCATTCTAGAGATACAGAACCATTTTGCTTAAGATTAAGCTTGCCAAAGATCATAAAGCTCATAAGTATGGAAGCTGAATCCAAGTTTGTGTTATCAATTTTCATACCATGATACTTCTTCATCCCCTGCTGCCCCACCATCCGTTCCCAAATTCAGTTCCCTGTTTGATGGCACCACTTTCCATTGAAACCAAAAAACAGAAACTCATCGCAGATTCTTCCTATTGTTTTCATAGAGTCTATTACCAAATTTTTCCATTTATTTTCCTAAAAGTTTCTTAAACTACTACTCTCTCTTCTGTCTACTAAGATAGGTACTTATTTTAAGCTTTACTTCAGCATTTTTTGAATGATTTTTTTTTTTTACTCTCTCAGGGTCTTAGTTACTTTGTCATTGCTGAGACAAAATACCTGACACCCAGAGCTAAAGGAGGCAAGTTATTTTAGCTCACAGTTAGTAAGGGGCCCAGTGTATAGTCACTGGCTGACTCCAAGGCAGGGTGGCATGGCAGAGCAGCATCGCATCGCAGAGGAGACAGTCCATGGCAAGACAGGCAGGAGGCAGCAGCAAGGAGCAGCAAGCCTCCCTTTCCCTTTTATCCACCCACACCCAGAGTGGGGCTTCCATTGTCCACCCCCAGATCTATGTTAAACCAGTTTAGTTATCACACATGTTAATCCCAGTGTCACATGCCCGTGATCCAGCCACTTCCCAGAAGCCCCACCTGTGAGCACATGAGGCTTTGGGGGACATCTGGGTATAAGCCAGAACACCCAGTTATCCTTTTTACTTCCACTTATGTTTTCCTTTAATCCACACGCTCTCCAAATAAACTGTCTTATATAAAAGATGATTTTCTACTTTCCTTTTTAAAATCTTTTAGTAACTCTACATTATCAAAAGGCAGAATCTTTTTTTTTGTTTTGTTTTGTTTTGTTTTGGGTTTTTTTTCCGGTACTGGGAATCGAGCTCACGACCTTGTGCTTGCCAGGCAGGTGCTGTGCTGAAAGGCAGAATCTTTTATGAAGTGCCTACATGCAACTTCTTCTCTTACTACTGTCTCGTAATTCATACTTTAGTTATACCCTAATGCGTAGTGCCCTGTACTTTTGTATTTTGTACCTATACTTTCCATCCAGAATCCCTTACCTAGCTGGCAAACATTCTCCAGTTCCAAGCTCAGTTCAAATATTATCTCTGTGAATATTTCTAATTCCTTATTCCCACAATACTATGTGATATCAAATTCATTATGAGTTTTAGATACTTCAACTGTAAACTAGTATTAACATTGTTGGGGGAAATTACAATAAATAATAAACATAAAAATAACGAGTATAGTTATTTGGTAGATACTCAGATATTGGTTCTTTTGTCTTTTTGAGAGCAGAAAAATTTATTGGGAGAGAGAGCTCCTGAGAGACAGGAGGGGTCCCAAATTGGTTGCCCGAGAATTTAACTTTATAATTAGAGAGTAAGGAACTAGCCCGATAGAAGGAAGTAAATTACTCTTACCTGATTCTTCCCTGTTTCCTTTCTTTAGTGGTGATGAGTTCCTCAACTTTCTTCTAAAATTAAACAAACAGTGTGGCCATTTAATAACAGCTGTGCAGAATATCATTTCTGAGTTACCCGTACATTCACACAAGGTATTCTACAAAAATTAGGTGACGAAAAGTATGAATGCTGAAGAATACTTCAGATAAGTTTGTGATAACTCAATAAACAGTACTAATCTGGTAAAACTATATCCATTGTTCAGCATAAGATCTAAATAAATAAATTTGTTCAATATTACTCTGTTACATAATAACTAATTGAAAAACTTTATGTTCTTACCCTCAAGAAAGGAAAAATGAGTCAGAGCAATATTAAACTGATCCAAGTATTGAGCTTACCATTTGTTTGTTTAAGGAGGATTTAATTGTTTAAAATATAAAGTGACGGAAGGCTAATGTGAAATTTGAAGCAGAACAGTGTGTTGAGTATTATTAAAGACCTATGTCTAATTTCTTAAATGAAGGAAATTTTAAACTGAAGAAGTATAGATGACTTGCAAAAAAACTAGTTTTTCATGTGATTTGGTTTTAGCTTTTTGTAGTAAAAATATGTAAATGTACTTATTTTTCTATGATTCTTATGTAATGCTAATACAAGAATCATTTTTAAATATTCACAAAATAATTCGTTTACACATATTCATAGTAATACTAATTTCCATGTAGAAAGTTATGTGTACATACTTATATTTTGGAAATGGATTTAGCAAGTGGATTCTATGATTCAGATAAAAATTATTGACTAACATTTGTTGTTAAGATTTTTCCTGAAAAAAAAAAATTCTTTTCAGTTATATAATTTATTGTTTAAGACTGTTGTGTAATTTTTGTGCATATGAAACGAAAAATCAGATCATTAAAGTGTAACTTTTGAAAACATTAACAGATAGTACTAGAATGGGCTTCTCCCCAGAATTTTACTTCAGTTTGTGAAGAACTGGTTAGCAATGTGGAAGACTTGAGTGAAGAGGTCTGCAAACTGAAAGACTTAATTCAGAAGGTATGTACTTAACATATAAATGTGAGGGAACTAAGGAAAATATTTTACATCAAAATATGTTAGACAGTAAAACAATTTTGACAAGAGGAACAAATAAAGAATATTCACTCAGGTGGAAAGAGTTTCTAAAGGAAGGACGTGTGTGTGTATATGTGCAAACGCTGTTGTTCATTAAAGAGACGCATGCCAACAACCGCGTGTTCTTTTCATGTTGTGATTAGCGAGGAAAACTGTACCGCTCTAGTGATACTCCTCTAGTTAGAGCTCACCAAACTGTAGCCAAATTGGCGGCAAAACCCATTTAAAAATAATCTGGCAAAGTATGTTAAGGACCATAAACATATTTGTATCTTTCAGTAGTACAGTAGTTTATTCCAAAACTGTATGTATCGAGTGTCTCATAATAGGAGAATAAGTTAATAAATTATTGTCTATTTATATTTTAAAATATTGTGTAGCTAGGGCATGAGGGTGAAGCTCAGTAGTAGAGTATGAAGTCCCTTAATTCAGTCATCAGCACCAAAAAGAAGGAAAAAAGACATAATGTACAGCTAGTTGAAAAAATAATGAAAGTCAAGTATCTGCTTCTTAGAAGTTACATTTATACAGTAGTACTCATGTATAAGTATATAGATGCAAAAAAGGCCACATAGAAAACTTTTTGACATATTTGATATAAAAGTAGTTATACATTAAATTTTTATAGCTTACCTATAATTCACTTGATATTTTCACTAATATTTTATCAAGTTATTTTCCTCAAAATAAACTTTATACATGTTCAGGTAATCTGTCACTCTAGCTATTAACGTGTGTTTAACAGAAGGGTGTTTGTTTATTTGTTTGTTTTGTGGTACCAGAGATTACAACCAGAGCCTTCATACTGAGCTACATTCTCAGATCTCTTACTTTTTTCATTGAGTCAGTCTCACTAAGTTGCTCAGGCTAGGCTCAAATTTGTGATCTTTGAGCTTCAGCTTTCCAGAGTGCTAGGATTACAGATGTGCATTACTGTGCCCAGCTTAAAAGATTCTTTTCACAAAAGATACAAGAAGAAAGTAGTAAAACAAATTGTACAAAATAGTGAGAGACATTCTAAATGCAGAAATGAGCAATGTATTTGAGAATTCTTGGAGAAAATAACTCCTGCTGGTGAAAGAGGCATCTTAGCAGTTCTGTTTTCTCTGACTTTATTCATTGAATATATGAGTTCCTGTTATATGTCAGGCACCTGTTCTACAAAAGTTCAGTGGAGCTAGAACTTGCTGACAACACAAAAATTGTAGCATCATTCATCTTCACTACTTCCATCTTATCTGGAAGAATTGAAAGAGAGTGGTATTGATTTCACTTAACATCATGTTTTTCATGGGAATCCAAGAAAAATGTGGAAGGATTCATGTACAGAAACTTCCTGCAAAGCATCAACTTTTAGTGCAGGAAATTGCCTAAGACATATTTGCCTCAGGATTAGTTATTAAGTTTGAATTTACAAAGACAGGGTGGGGAGAACTGAGATGAAATTAGTTTTCTGAAATAAATAAATTTAAAAAGCATTGCTTCACAGATGCAGTGACTCTAAAACACAAACAATATAATTAGCTACCATAATGTTTATTTTTAAAATGTGACACTGTAAAGAGAATTTTCTTCTGTAATTACAAGGGGGGTCTTTTTGCATGGGTGACTCTCTGTACGTATAACTTGCGCATTTCTGTGTGGTGTTAAAGTCTAGCCTTGAAATGCATTGATTAGAATGGCAGGCAGTTCTTTGGGTAGGGGAAAATTAATTTTTGAACAAACTAATAGATTAGTTTTGTTAGATTAGTTTTACCCAGGAAGTAATGATCATAATGACATCTGATTTTAGGGAACTATGAAGGCTTCCAGGTTTGTGATTATGCTATCATGCTTGCTAAGCTTTAATATTGTAGTTTACCAATAGTAATGGAAGATTTTTTTAAAGAAACATACGAGTTATCACAGATAAGTGTATGGAGGTGACAGAGAGAGAGGGTGGGAGAGGTCAAGGCTAGACTTTAACACCACATCAGTCTCCTTCAAACCAACACACTGACAGCTCCTGTCAGAAAGGGTCATTCTAAGTAATTGGTTAATAAAAGGAATGACTGTCTCAAGATTCAGTAAATGGAGCATCAGTGTCAAAAAGGAATCTGTTGCTGAATGAAGCCATTTGGAAGTTAGACCTAGAATACATTCTTAATGAGATTGGCAGTGAAGTCTGTTTTTCTGCTATAAATTTAAAATTAATTTTGCGGGCTTTTTAAATTAAATATTTACACTGTCGAATTTAGGAGTCGTTATTCCTGCTGATGTTTAAAGTATTTATATCACCACTCCAGCACAGGATGTTTCTAGTAAATATCACTCTATAAATGTGCTTGCTTCTTTTTATCGTTGAAGGATCTTCTGGTTTCTGCTTATTCTCCCTCTCTTGCCCCTCCGCACAGCCGTCTTTCTTCCCTCCCCTCCTCCACTTTTCCTTTGTTCCTCTTCCACTCTCCTCTCCTCTCTTCTCTCTCTTTCTCTCTCTCACTGTCTCTTTCTCTTTGTGCCTTTCTCTCTCTGCATGTGCATGCCTGCACTAACACACACTGAGGGAAGGCTTAACACAAAATGTCTTGAGAATTCAGAAACTGAGTTAAACTGAGTCATGTACTACTTCTGTTGCTGAGATTTGATGTTTGAGAACTGTGAAGGCTTCCAGGTTTGTGAATGTACTGTCATGCTTGTTAAGCTTGTCATATTTCAGAGTTATCAGTAATAACAGAAGGGGATTATTTTAAAGAAACTGATGAGTATCAACAGATGCTTATATGAGGAAAAATACCAAAAGAACCACTCAGGTTTTTGTTGATATTTGTTCTCACCATTTAAATAAAAGTATTCAGCTTCTAGTATTAGTATCTCATCTTCCAGGCTTTACTAAATTTTGTCTATATAGGTTTGCTATAAGAATGGTTCACTCTTTTATAAGACATTAATTGATACTTAATATAGAAAGAAATAAATATGAATTATAATTCCTTATAAGTAAAATAGAAATTTAAGCTAACATTAAAGGAACTTTATCTCATGATGTAAAAATAGCATTTTAAAATGCAGTAACTTATGAAAGCATTTGTTAATGTAAAATTTATAATTTGCAATACTAGTTTACTGGTAAAAAAAATAAATAAGGCGTGTCTTGTTCACTTTAAATCTTCCATAAGAATCTTGAGTTGCCTACATCTAAATCAACTGCATTAGTATGGATTTTTTTTCAAATCAAATATGTTTTTATTTTCAGTGTACATACACTAATTTTTTTCCATTCTAAATATTAGTTGCAAAATGAACGGGAAAATGATCCAACTCACATACCATTCATGGAAGAAGTATCTACATGGAAGAGTAAAATTTTGAAGAGCACAGCTATTACAGTATGCGGATTTGGGTTGCTTCTCTTCATTTGCAAGATGACTTTCCAAAGAAAATAACCTTAATATTTGTTTCAAGTTATGTAGGTACATCCTATTCAAACTTCCTTGGCATTGCTATGTCTTTAGTGGCATATCATAACTAAATCCTGTGCTCATACTCCACAGGAAGACTTAGCATAACGTAAAGCAGAAGGTTTTTCTTTATAAAATGGTTTGTTTGTTCAAGTTGTAAATATATTGTATTGTTGATTTTGATCAAGCATAACATACGTAATTCTTTAGTTTGAATATTTGGCTGAATCACATTCAAAATAAAAGTTTTATTTAATACTCATTACATTTTAAGAAGTCTGTTCATCTGTCTTAGAGAATCTTACAGAATTTATGAAGAGCTCATAAGTCAATAGGTTGCTTTTAGTCCCTACTTCCCTGTTTTTTAATTATAGGGGCTTCCTTATTGGGTACTTTTAGTCATATTACATTATTGGAAAATTATTACTTTTGGAAGTACTCCAGAGAATCCAGAGGAGAAAAGTTAATGTAAAAGCTTTTAATTTTTTATTAATAAAGGAAATACATTTCAAATGGAAAGTACAGAAGCAGAAAATTAGGGAATATGAAAAAAAGTACATTAGAGTTTTTATGTAAATTATGTTGGGTAATATGGCATATACTGCATAGCATTATTAGGGATATTAAGAAAATGAATGGCATTTGGTATATAATTTCTGATGTCTCAAGATTTAATAGATTTTTAAAAATCAAAATACTAATACTCAGATTTAAAAAGTGAATTTCATGAAAGAGCATGTTCACTTTAGCAGGCAGTATAGCCTCTCAATTGTGTTTAACTTCATGCTGTACTTAGATATAGCTCATCTACAGCTGCTTGAGACATAAACACGAAACAGAAATAATTTTTGAAAAAAAATGCATTCACATTTCTGTAACTTCTGATTTTAAAAATGTGGAAATTGTATTGCTCCAAAATAAACTGATTAAACTATAGAGAATTGTTAGAGCTTTTCTTGAGAAGAAGAAAAAGAATAGATGAAGAGATTAGTATTTGAATACTTCTTCTGTAGTAAGTCCTTCATTAATGTTGAGTTTAACTTGTAGGATAGTGCCATGAGGAATATATTCTCATTTTATGTAAATTGAATCTCAGAGATGCTGTTGAAGTAAATTTTTGAAATTCACAACACTAGTAACTCAAGCTGGGAGTTCAAATCATTTAAATTAAAAGCCAGGTGTGGTGGTGCACACCTGTGATCCCAGCACTCAGGAGGCTGAGACAGGAGGATTACTGTAAGTGTAAGGCCGGCTGGACTACATAGTGAATTCAAGGCCAGCCTGAACTACATAATGAGACCCTGTCTCAACAAAACCAAAATAGCATTGTAACATTTCATGAGTACTTACCATATACCAGCCATTTTTCTAAGCATTGGGAAATCAATTATCCCTCCCCTTGTAGAACTTCCGTTCTAATGGAAATAAACCAGCAAAGTATAAGATACCAGATATGATAAAAGCTGTGGAGAAAAATGAAACAGGGGTATTATTTTAAACAGAGTAGTTCAGGGAAGCCATCACAAACCTCAGGTCTCTTATTAAAAACAAAGGATTGCAAAGTAAGCCATGCAGGTATCTGGGATAAGTCTGTTCAAAAACACAAATGAATAAAAATATCACCATAGCACTAGAATACTCCACAAGAAAGCCAGAATGGCTAGAGTTAAGTAAGTGATGAGTCAAATAGAAGATTAGATGATTTGAAGCTTGTTAGTTTTTACACAATAGGTTGGAAAACCATTGGAAGGTATGAGTGGAAAATTAACATGGACTGATAGATTTTAAAAGAGTCTCCTACCACTATTTTAGAATAGATTATTCTAGGGGCACAGACATGGAAAATTTGAAAATTAGTTAAGTGGCTACTGCCATTACTGTAGGTACAAAATGGTAGTAGCTTGAGATAGCAATGAAAATAATGAAATCAGCTGGGGTCACCACATTTTTAAGAAACAGCGAGTAGGGTTTACTTACAGATTGTGTGTTCCAAGCAGAAAGCAATAGCCAAAGGTGAAGTTTTGTTTGGTTTTGGGGACCTTTTTGACTTGAGCAACAAAAAGAATGGAATTATGATTTGTGAAAAGGATGACATCTCTGAAAGAAGGAAAGCAATTACAAGGGAGTGATTTGAATAAATAATAGAATATACTAATCAGTAATTCAGGAGAGATATCCACCAGGAGATAAAAATTGAGAATTTAATTTTAAGGACTGGATCAGATCACCAAGGAAATGGTGGAAACAGTGCTGAACTCTAGGCCACCTACATTCACAGGAAGAAAGACAGTCTACAGCCATACCACCCTGAACGCACCTGATCTCAGAAGCTAAGCAGGGTCGGGCCTGGTTAGTACTTGGGTGGGAGAGGAAGAACCAGGAAAAGGAGACAAGAATAGCTGATGCAGTTAGGCAAAAGCAAAGATCAGCAACCTCAGGTGCATTAGCCAGAGTTGTTCAACGTGTGGTCAGCAGCGTTAGCCATTAAGGAAATATAAATTAAAACCATAATGAGGTACATCTCCATACCCACCAGAAAGAATGAAATGTGAGAGAACACCACCAAAACCTTGTGTGCAAGTCAGTGGTGGAACAGATGTTTATATGCAAGGCCCTGGCTTCAGCACCACAAAAGAAAAGGATTGCAGGTGTTAGTAGGGATAGAATAAAACTGTCATAGACTATAGCTATCCTATAAATGGTAAAAAATATTTTTGAAAACCTGTGATGCAGTGTCTACTAAAAGTAGACATAGTTTCCTAATAACCCAGCAGTTCTACTCCTAAGTATAAGACCTGGAGAAATGACTGGGCATGTCCAAAAAGGACAGACAGTATGTAACTGTACAGTGGATTAAGACCTCAAGGATAGGGGCTGGGGATTTAGCTCAGTGGCAAAAGCGCCTGCCTGGCAAGCGCAAGGTCGTGAGTTTGGTTCCCGGTACCGGAGAAAAACCAAAAAAAAAAAAAAAAAGACCATTTACAGAGTGGAGTACTGCGTAGTAAATCTGGACAGATTATGACTGTTCATAAAACCTTAACTGAATCTTACACACTGAACACAAGGAGCCAAACACAAAACTTTTGTACGTACTATATAATTATTCAACTTTTGTTTCTACTTTTTAGCTGTGGACATGTTTTAATTTCTCTTGGGTATGCATCTAGAAGAATTGTAGCAATATGTGGTAACTGCATTGAACCATTTGTTATTTTAGGGGTATGTTAATTTTCATATATTTGTTAAGATTTATTTTAAAATTCATTATATTGTGATCAAAAATATATTATACGATTGCATCCTTTAAAATTCTTTGAAGATTGTTTTATAGCCTAACATATTACCTGTCTCGCAGAACCTTCCATGTATGCTTGAGAAAACTGTGTAACATTCCTTTGTTGAATGAAATCCTCTTCAGATGTCTACCAAGTCTAGTTTGTATGTAGTATTATTTAAGTCTTATTTATAGGCAGAAGTTTATTTTTGCCAAGTTCTGTTATTGAAAGTAGAGTACTGAGGTCTTTAATGTTACTGTTGAAGTGTCTGTTCCTTCATTTCTGTAACCCTTTGCTTCACATTAAATGATCTCCTATAGACAGCACATAGTTGGCTCTTGTTTTACTTAATCCACTCTGGCAATCTCCCTTTTTATTGAATTTTTTAATCCAGTCAGTGTTATAGTGGTGTAGATTGACAAGCCATTTTACTTTTATTTTCTATATATTTTATATGTTTTTCCTCTATTACTCTTCTTTACATTAAGTGTAGCATTTTGATTCCTTTAATGATTTCTTAAAATGTATTTCTAGTTATTTTCTTAGTGGTTGCCTTAGGGCTTACTGCATGTACCTTAAAGCGTCTTCTTTAGATTTATACTGACCTAACTCCAGTGAGAGAACCATTACTGTTATATACCTTCATTCTGTCCTACACCTTTTTATACTGTTGTTTTACATGCTATAACTGTGTATGTTACAGACCCAAGAGTAGATACAGAGTTCCAATTAATAGCTTGTTATTTTATATTGATTAAAGAACTGGAAAAAGAAAGGTGATCAAGTTTATAATTGTAGAGTTTGTTATATTTATGTGCTTATTTACCATGTCTGTGTTTTTTCATTCATTTCTGTGGATTCAATTTCCATTCAGTGTTACCTCGTTATTCCAGTACAGCTGTTCCCATTCACCTCTTTTGTGCTCTTATCTTTTTTTTTCCTTGTCTTCTTGAGGCAGGTTCTCACTGTGCAGTTCAGGCTGGCCTTGAGCTCACTTTGTAGCCCAGGCTGGTCTCAAACTTGCAACGATCCTCCTGCCTCAGTCTCCCAAGTGCTGGGACTGCAGGCATGCACCGCCCTGCCCAGTTTGTGCTCTTATCTTTAAATATATTTCTATCAATAATGTAATTGTATGCATATCACTATATGCAGTAATTTTTTAAATCACTAGAAGAAGAGAATAAATATGCGTCTTTACTGTCTTTTGTACTTAAATAAATACCTTTCCATTTTAGTTTTTTGTGTGAATTTAGATTCCCATCTGGGTTTACTTGTCTTCAAACTTAAGAATTCCTCTAGTACAGTGGTGCCTCGGTTCACAAAATTCTTTCCAAGATTCTGGTCGCAAAGAGAACTCAATGAGAACCAAAACAAATTTCCTCATGAGGTCAACAGTGAGCCTAACCATTGAATTTGATTTAACTTCCCATTATTGTATTTTCAACTCCCGAATTTCCTTTTGGTTCTTTTTAAAAATATTCCCTCTTTATTGATAGTCTCTGTATTTTCTTTATACATTCTTTTACTTCTTTAAGCATAGTTTACTTTAGTTCTTTGAACATGTTATAATGGCTTCCCTGAGTTCATTAAATATAACATCTGATCCTTCTCACAGTTTCTTTTGATGGCTCACACCTATTTCATTGACTATCTCATATTTTATTGAAAATTGGATATTTTACATAATACATTCTAACAATTCCTCTCTCCCTACCCACAAGGATTTATTTTCTTCTTTGCCTAATGATTTGGCTGGACTATTTCTGTGAAGTCTATTTTCCCAAGGAGTGAAATCCTTGGTGTCTCTCCTAAGAGGTAGAGTCTTGGGCATACATAGCCATTCTACTTTTTTGTTTTGTTTTGGTTTTTTTTTTTTTGTTTTTTTTTCCGGTACCAAGAATCAAACTCACGACCTTGCACTTGCCAGGCAGGCACTGTGCCGCTGAGCTAAATCCCCAGTCCCATTCTACTTTTTTAAAACTTCCTAATCACTCTTACAGGTCGTGTACCTCAACTGGATTTCATTCAACCATTAGGCTGCACTAATTACTGACTAGTTGCTTGGTTTTATATGCCCTGGGACATCAATTGCTCCTACGTTCTGATAGAAATTAAGTTTGGACAGGGATAGTTTTTGAAGTCAGCCTTTGAGATTTGTTCTAAGCTCCAGAGGGCTTTTCTCAGCTATGTCTTGGTTCTCTGTGGTAAACTAGGTGGCCTACAATTTAACTTGTTGGTCCTAAGCTCTTACGTTCAAGAGTCCCCTTGTGCTTGCATTTCCCCACACTCTGAAAGTCATTTCCTTTGGAGAGGATGCTGTAAGATAACACTTGGAACCTCAGAAAAGATTTCTCTTGTTTCACTGTAGCCTGCCTACGTGATTCTCTCACCAGTGTACGGTAGGATTTGGTAAATGTATTGATTCATGACCTTGTTTGTTTTGTGGCTGTTAAAGTTCACATAATCTCTTCAGGAGCAGAACATGTCATTCAGCATAACTTAAATCCATGTTCCCAAACCATAGTCATTCATACTTGGCTCATAACAAGCAATTTCTCTAGTTACCTTAACTCTAAAGAAGTCTCCATCCTATGGGATGCAGTGAAAGAGTCCCTGACCTCTCCACCACACTTAGGAAAATTCAGCCACTTCAGACTTGAGAAGAAAGTGCAAATCTGGTGCTCTGCCCCTCTAGATGAATTACGTTAGCCCTTCTTAGAGTGGTGAGGGTAGAGGGAAGTCTGTCTGCCTGGCCACATCCACCCAAAGCAGAGCTGCTGCCAAGCGGGTTGGCCTGGTGGGGGGGCAGTGAGCAGGGAGTGCGTGATGATCCAACTGCGGCAGACTCACGTTTCCTACAGTCGTAGTAGGTTTTCCTAAATGCATCTGTACCCTTAGGACACTTTCCAGAGACTTCATGTGGTTAATTTGT